ATATTGGACAGTCTACCAGGCGAGTAAGCAGTTGCTGTAAGCTAGCGTCTTCAAAAAGACGTTAGCTTACAGCAAAGCATACAACAAATAGAGCAACAGCGTACTAGTCAGGAACAATTTAGAGCATTTTTCCCCGCCAGCTCTTTATGTGCAAAAAAAAACAACCTGAGGAGTACATTTTTGAGAAAGATAGTTATAAGCCTCAATAAAGATTACAAGTTCTGGAAATTTACTATATTGCGAGCTTACGTATCGGAAATGCATAGTAAGAAATTGCAATAGCAGTATTGTAAAATATCAAAAATATGCGAATTTGGAATAGATAGGAGCACATATGGAAATAAAAAAAGCTTTTTCCAGCTTTTCCATTCCTAAAGCTTTAACAATCTTCTCCGTTTTAAAGGACCAAAAAACTTGACGGAAGCTGAAGTTGAACGCTTTGCTTGCAAAATCTTTGTGAATTGTGAAAATGATTAGTTCTTTGAAAGAAGACCTCAAAGCTTACCTCCAAACCAATAAGCTTCACTAATTTGTCCATCAGCACGATAGCTTGTGCTTGGTAATCGTGCCAAATGTCCTTGACGGCTAGAGACAAGCAGATTCTGCATATGTTGATGGATGTTCTGTTCGGCTTCGGCTGGATTTGGTGGGCCCTGCAACATCGACGAGATGATGATTGTGTGTGATTACCTCTGACGACTCGTCAAAATTGTCTGGATTTGAAGAGCAGTTGTTAAAAAAAAGTACACGTGCTTGTTGATGATAGATGTCAGATGGTGGTTGTCATTTAACATAGGAATAACGTGGCAAGAAAGACGAGAATTGTCACCAAGAGATAGAATATAGTAGAAATGTTTGAAAATTTCTAAAGAATGTAATTTCTCAGATAACACTACCTTGTGTCCTGCTCCCTCACTAAATTCCAAATTTTCATTAAATTATGGAATCTTATTAACCTAAAATCTCAGCAAAGCTTTGATTTTTAGAGAGAAAGGTTTAGCAAGTCATTAGCCAATGAAGATCAAAAGAAAGGTGTTTATTAGAATAATACTTGAAATTACGGTAAGATACAGTACCATCGTGCCTACCTTATAGGTTGCACCTGGTCGCTTTCTATCTGGAAGACTAATAAATAGTTTCGGCAAGGATCTCATGGATGCTGAATTTATTTCTGCGCGCCACTTATGCCAATCCATTGAGAAATCCAAGCCAGGCATACTTTTTAGAGCCTAACTAAAGCCTGCGCCATGTATTGCATGCGAAAGAAAGCTGACTCCGCTCCATCGCTAGCTGAATGGGATGCGAGACATATTTGGATTTGATTTCAAAGAATTTTTTGAGAATCAAATTCCAATTCTTTTCAAACCTCAGCAGATGCTTCTAGCCGATTTCATGAATTTATAGAGTTCATGTAAAATTGCTATGCCTTTAGAAGTGAGTACGGTATATCTGCAGCTCAATTCTTTTCGTGAAACCATAGTTAGGGGAAAGAAAAGTGTTTCTCATGAATTCACTTATGCCAAAAAAAATATCAGATTATAATAGAATTTTAGAGAACGATTATACCGTGATGGTCATGATGACATGAGAAGAAAAATGTAAATTTTAGGTTCCAGGTTGATTTAATTAATCCAACTGCACTTTTCTAAATAAAATAACAAATTGGAGAAATCTTGTGTAGACAAACTACGTCTAATATGAGTGGCTAAGAGGTTTACACTAACCAAAAGCGATAAACAATTGTTATTTGTACGAGACCACAACGAGCAGAGCACCTGATTGACACAACTACCACAGCGGTAGATTTATGCGAATGTGAAGCAGCAGTAGTCATTATAGGCCTTACTACTTATTCCTGCAGAAATTGTGAATCCTAGGGTTTGGAAAGAAAAAAGAATTTAATTGAACCAAAAAAATTATTTTGTTCCTCT